TTCATTGCTGGCGAGCCGGTCTTTGTTTATTTTTTGTGTTCCTTGTTTGGATGTTTTTACTTTGTCTTTCATTTTTTTATGCAATATATCACCATTATCCAAAAAATAATAATACAATACAAGCCACGGTTAATTCCTTATATGTTTCAGGTGCAATTATCTTCTCACCTAGATTCTTTTGAAGGCATCATTTCACTCATAATACTAAAACATTATGAAAGTACAAAAAGTATAACCATTAAAAATAAGCTTTGGATCGAACATTTTTTCCTTATAGAAAGTTACCCTGCCTAGGAAAATTTTGAAAAGAGAAAGTGGAAAATAGAATAAAAAGCTACAAGAAAAGATATTCAACACAAAATTATTGTCAATATTGAGTCAAATTATAAGGAGATTACAACATAAATTCTCCTGATGCCGAAATCATAATTAGTCTACTAAAATTTTTGTGGGCTGATATTCTGGATTTCCAAAGGACATAGCGTGTGGGAAACGAGTGTTATTTGATTGTAGTGGATACTATAGTAATATATAGTAGTGCATTCCTGATTACGACGCGACGGCCAAACACCAAGTTACTGGGAAAGATATGTTCTTCGAGTGTAAGTCATCTATCAGCCCGTGGGCTTCTTTTAGTTTGCTCAAGATGCAGCAGGAGTTTTTTTTACAACATCATGATGATAACAATTGCTTTCTCGTTCTGGTTCTACTAGATCCGATGAATGAAAAGTAGAAGGATGAGGACAAGAAGAGGATGATCTATGGAAGGACCAGAAGAAGAACCGTCCGATGAAGAACAAGAAGGATCGTCCACTACTGAAGAACAAGGAGCAGGATCGCCTACAGCTGAAGAACAAGGAGCAGGATTGTCGACCGAAGAAGAACAAGGAGCAGGATCGTCCACTACTGAAGAACAAGGACCAAGATGGTATACTACTGAAAAATTGAGTGAACGATTTGGCTCCTTGTTCTCTGTACCATCATGCTCCTTGTTCTTGAGTGGACGATCCTGACGATCTTGCTCCTTGCTTTTTAGTAGTGGACGACCCTGACGATCCTGCTCCTTGTTCTTCTTGGGTCGACCATCCTGCTCCTTGTTCTTCAGTAGTAGGCGATCCTGCTCTTTGTTCGTCAGTAGTGGACGATCCTTCTTGTTCTTCAGCGGACGGTTCTTCTTCTTGTCCTCATCCTTCTTCTTGTCCTCATCCTTCTTATTTTCCTTCAACGGATCTAGTAGAACCAGCACGAGAAATCAATTGTTATCATTCTGACGTTCTAAAAAGATCTCATGCTGCTTCTTGGGCAAACTAAAAGAAAGCCACGGGCTGATAGAGGACTTGCACTCGAAAAAAATATCTCACTCAGTAACTGGGTGTTTGGCCGTCGCGTCATGATGGTTGTACTCGGGCGCCTTAACAAAGTTGTACGGGTAGAGGAGTTGGAGATATTTTAGGCAGATCTCTTCTCCTTTCCTCCCAGACCTTCGGTTGCCATCCTCGGGAGCTGAATGGTGGTAAAATCTTGAGACCCCCTCCTCTCTGGTATGAAGCTTCTCCAGCAAAACAAAAGAAGGTTAGGTAGAGTATGCTAACAATTGTCAGAATCGTCCACTCAAGAACAAGGAGCAGGATGGTACAGAGAAAAGGGAGGAGGATCTTCCTCATTGTATATTCACCTTTCCAAATCCTACCCAAGCAACAGTAGTTGTACAACCATTAAAAGGAGATGAAATACATGTCCCAATAGAAGGAAGATTACCGCAGATCAGCCGAGTACCAAACAAGACTCTGAAACAAACAATCCTAATGACCGTTTTGAATACCGATTTGGCTATGTTTACGGTGGCCGTTATGTCAATGAAATTTACCGATTTGTCACACCTCGCCCTTCCTTGCCTGAAGAAGATTTTGTGCATTAATTCAGAATAACAACAGAGCAACAATTGGGGTTCAACCTAATTCGTATTTAAATTTTGGGGAGATGACGCTACTTGGAAATAAGTCAAAGACAAGGGGCAATTATATCTAACAAAACAAAAAAGCTATTATACTTTAAAGCCCTGCTACATTAACAGGTAAGTCGACTCATCAGACAATGAGCAATTATATCTACCAAAACAAAAAAGTTATGATCCTTTAAAGAACTGCTACACTAACCTGTAACTCTGGTCATCAGTCTTCCCCGTCTCCACAACCACCATTAGGATTCTCAAAAGTTGAATCGTCAATTTTTACCTCCTCCGCTATCTCAAATTCCTCTTGCCATCTTCTGACTCTTGTTAGATGAGTCAGGTTCAACCAACTTGTCACCACGAGGACCGTTGGATGGATCCCATGTGATTTTCTTGCATGCCAACATCCGCCGATAAATTTCTATTTCCTTCTCATTGACATAACGGCCACCGTAAACGTAGACAAATCGGTATGCAAAACAGTCAGGAAAATTGTTTGTTTCAGAGTCTTGTTTGGTACTCGGCTGATCTGCGATAATCTCCCTTCTATTGGGATATGTATTTCTTCTCCTTTTAATGGTTGTACAACTACGGTTGCTCGGGTCGGATTTGGAAAGGTGAATATACAATGAGGATGATCCTCCTCCTTATTCTCTGTATCATCCTACTCCTTGTTCTTGAGTGGACGATCCTGACGATTCGTAGCATACTCAGCTTGGCTTCTTCTGTTTTGATGAAGAAGCTTCATACCAGAAAGGAGGGGGTCTCAATATTTTACCAGCGTTCAGCTCACCAGGATGGCAAGCGAAGGTCTGGGAGGAAAGGAGAAGAGATCTGCCTGAAATATCTTGAACTCCTGTACCTGAACAACTTCGTTAAGGAGCCAGAGTACAGCCATAACGACACGACGGCCAAACACCCAGTTACTAGGAGGGATATGTTCTTCGAGTGCAAGTTCTCCATCAACCGTGGCTTACTTTTAGTTTGCCCAAGAAGCAGCAGGAGTTCTTTTTAGAACGTCAGAATGATAACAATTGCTTTCTCGTTCTGGTTCTACTAGATCCGTTGAAGGAAAGGAAAAAGGATGAGGACAAGAAGAAGAACCGTCCACTCAAGAACAAAAAGGATCGTCCACTACTGAAGAACAAGGAGCAGGATCGCCTACTACTGAAGAACAAGGAGCAGGATCATCGACCTAAGAAGAACAAGGAGTAGGATCGTCAGGATCGTCCACTACTGAAGAACAAGGAGCAGGATGGTACAGAGAAATCAATTGTTAATTTGTTATCATTCTGACGCTCTAAAAAGAACTCCTACTGCTTCTTGGGAAAACTAAAAGAAAGCCACGGGCTGATAGAGGACATGCTCGAAAAACATATTCCTCCCAGTAAATGGGTGTTTGGCCGTCGCGTCGTGATGGATATACTCGGGCGCCTTAAAAAAATTGTTCGGGTAGAGGAGTTGGAGATATTTTAGGCAGATCTCTTCTCCTTTCCTCCCAGACCATCGCTTGCCATCCTTGTGAGCTGAACGCTGGTAAAATCTTGGGACCCCCTCCTCTCTAGTATGAAGCTTCTCCAGCAAAACAGAAGAAGTCAGGCTGAGTATGCTACGAATTGTCAGAATCGTCCACTCAAGAACAAGGAGCAGGATGGTACAGAGAACAAGGAGGATGATCTTCCTCATTGTATATTCACTTTTCCAAATCTGACCCGAGCAACAGTAGTTGTACAACCATTAAAAGGAGATGAAATCAAGTCCCAATAGAAGGAAGATTACCGCAGATCAGCCGAGTACCAAACAAGACTCTGAAACAAACAATACTCATGACTGTTTTGAATACCGATTTGGATACGTTTACGGTGGCCGTTATGTCAATGAGAAGGATATAGAAATTTATCGGCGGATGTTGGCACGCAAGAAAATCACATGGGATCCATCCAACGGTCCTCGTGGTGACAAGTTGACTGACCCTGACTCATCTAACAAGAGTCAGAAGATGGCAAGAGGAATTGGAGCTAGCGGAGGAGATAAAAATTGACGATTCAACTTTTGAGAATCCTAATGGTGGTTGTGGAGACGCAGAAGACTGATGATTCGACTTACAGGTTAGTGTAGCAGTTCTTTACAGGATAAGAGCTTTTTTGTTTTGGTAGATATAATTGGTCCTTGTCTGATGAGTCAACTTACATGTTAATGTAGCAGTGCTTTAAAGGATAATAGCTTTTTTTTTTCTTAGATATAATTGCCTCTTGTCTTTGACTTATTTCCAAGTAGCGTCATCTCACCAAAATTTAAATACGAATTAGGTTGAACCCCAATTGTTGCTCTGTTGTTATTCTGAATTAATGCACCCTTCCTTGCCTGAAGAAGATTTTGTGCACTAATTCAGAATAACAACAGAGCAACAATTGGGGTTCAACCTAATTTTTATTTAAATTTTGGGGAGACGACGCTACTTGGAAATCAGTCAAAGACAAGGGGCAATTATATCTAACAAAACGAAAAAGCTATTATACTTTAAAGCACTGCTACATTAACATGTAAGTCGACTCATCAGACAATGAGAAATTATATCTACCAAAACAAAAAAAGTTATTATCCTTTAAAGAACTGCTACACTAACCTGTAAGTCTGGTCATCAGTATTCCCTGTCTCCACAACCACTATTAGGATTCTCAAAAGTAGAATCGTCAATTTTTACCTCCTCCGCTAGCTCCAGTTCCTCTTGCCATCTTCTGACTCTTGTTATATGAGTCAGGTTCAGCCAACTTGTCACCACGAGGAGCGTTGGATGGATCCCATGTGATTTTTTTGCGTGCCAACATCCGCCGATAAATTTCTATATCCTTCTCATTGACATAACGGTCACTGTAAACATAGCAAAATCGGTATTAAAAACAGTCATGAGAATTGTTTGTTTCATAGTCTTGTTTGGTACTCGGCTGATCTGCGATAATCTTCCTTCTATTGGGATATGTATTTCATCTCCTTTTAATGGTTGTACAACTACGGTTGCTCGGGTCAGATTTGGAAAGGTGAATATACAATGAGGATGATCCTCCTCCTTGTTCTCTGTATCATCCTACTCCTTGTTCTTGAGTGGACGATCCTGACGATTCGTAGCATACTCAGTCTGGCTTCTTCTGTTTTGCTGAAGAAGCTTTATACCACAAAGGAGGGGGTCTCAAGATTTTACCAGCGTTCAGCTGACGAGGATGGTAAGCGAAGGTCTGGGAGGAAAGGAGAAGAGATCTGCCTGAAATATCTTCAACTCCTGTACCCGAACAACTTCGTTAAAGTGCCAGAGTACAGTCATTACGACGTGACGGACAAACACCCAGTTACTGGGAGGGATATGTTCTTCGAGTGCAAGTTCTCCATCAACCGTGGCTTTCTTTTAGTTTGCCCGAGAAGCAGCAGGAGTTCTTTTTAGAACGTAACAATGATAACAATTGTTTTCTCGTGCTGGTTCCACTAGATCCGTTGAAGGAAAAGAAAAAGGATGAGGACAAGAAGAAGAACCGTCCGCTGAAGAACAAGAAGGATCGTCCACTATTGAAGAACAAGGAGCAGGATCGCCTACTAGTGAATAACAAGGAGCAGGATCGTCGACCTAAGAAGAACAAGGAGTAGGATCTTCAGAATCGTCCACTACTGAAGAACAAGGAGCAGGATCGTCGACCCAAGAAGAAAAAGGAGCAGGATCGTCACGATCGTCCACTCAAGAACAAGGAGCAGGATGGTACAGTACTGAAAAAATGAGTGGACGATCCTGACGATAGTGGACGATCCTGCTCCTTTTTCTTCGATAGTGGACGATCCTGCTCCTTGTTCATCATGGGTCGACGATCCTGCTCCTTGTTCTTCAGTAGTAGGCGATCCTGCTCCTTGTTCTTCAGTAGTGGTCAATCCTTCTTGTTCTTCAGCGGACGATTCTTCTTCTTGTCCTTCCATAGATCATCGTTTTTCTTGTCCTCATCCTCGTGAACTGAATCTTGAGACCCCCTCCTTTCAGGTATGAAGCTTCTTCAGCAAAACAGAAGAAGCCAGGCTGAGTATGCTACGAATCGTCAGTATCGTCCACTCATGAACAAGGAGTAGGATGATACAGAGAACAAGGAATCGGTATACCGAAGTTGGTCAAATTGGAATCGATTATCGATACCGGTTTGTAACCAGTTTACCGATTACCGAATTACCGGTAAACGGGTACAAACCGTTATTACCAATATACCGAAATACCCCATCTTCTTCCCCAATGCCGCCATTATTCTCCATACAAGATCGGGATCTCACAGCAGCAGTCATCAATTTACTCGGAGTATTCTAGCTAGTAAGACTTTCTTTGCTCTGCTTCCGATCTATTGTTGTGCGGTATTTATTTTAATTTTGTCATCGGCTTGTAGATGGCAGTGATCGTAAGTCCCAGATCAGCGGATGATGGACATACAATCAGCTTCCAGAGACAAGTAAGCGGCAGAGGGATTGCTCAAACATTAATATGAAGATATATGGAAGACTAGAAAGTCAAGTTGGGCGCCGGAGAAAAGGTGAAATCATCATTGTTATTTCTCGGTTGATTTTGCTCTTTCTCCATTGTTGTTTCTTTTGTAATTTTTTTTATCTAAGATGTATGTTTGCTTATCTTTGTTGATTTTAGGGGTTGTCGTCAAGCCCTAGCTCAACCACTCCAACAACTAATAAACACATATTTCTCAAGAAATGGAGGATGAGAAATACTTGCATGTCTAGGGGGTGATGAAGATCAGTTATTCAACATTGCAATTTTGATAGGCAACTCGGTAGAACTCATTGTTATTAAAAATATGTTTTGTGATTGGTTTAATAGAGTTTATTAGTTCTTATAATACTTTTAGTTACAAATTTCTTTATGTGTTTCTAGTTTTTGTCAGCGAAAGATATATACGTGATAACATTGTTATCAGTTATCACATACATATAAATTTCTTGCAATCCACAATCATCATTGATATTTTCGTACTTGACAAAAATATCTTTCATAAAAATATTGTTTTGGTGACAAATACACAATTGTTTGTCACCACCGTTGTTGCGGTAATAACACTAATTTTGCCACAAAAACATGATATTGTGACCACAATACTGTCACAAAAGCCTCTTTTTGCGATATAAAGACTACCGAGAAGGTGACGCATTTGTGACAACCAAACTGCTAACAATTGAAATACGTTTGGTGATGGAAAAAGTCATCACAAAATGTGTAGTATTTGTTACAAGCAAAAGTTGTCACGATTGAATACAACTTATATGACAATAAAAACTGTCACAAATAAAGCATATATATGTTGGGTATACTTATTGAAAAGTGTTGCATAAATTATTAAGGTGTTGCCTAAATTGATGTTGCATTAGGGAGTATACATATGCAACACATAATTTTGTTGTTGCAAAAGGTAAAAAAAAGTGTTGCATATAACACCACCTATAGGAGACACCTCTAAAAGTGTTGCATATTGCATATACAACACTTTCGATACTTCTTGCGACACATTACAAGTGTTGGCAAAAACCACTCCTTATTTAGTATTAAAAAAGGATCGACCGACCTACTTCAGTAAATCAATCAATGATTCCTCGTTTTAAGATAGAAATAGGTTGTGGTATCTACAAAAACCATAAACCTAAATATCCAATAGCCACCAGTCTTTGTTGTACCATCAAATTTTTATCAACTTTATCTTCAATCTCAAGAGTCGTATGTTTCAACAAAAAATTCAATTTCTAATCCTCCTCTTGCAACTCCATTTATTGAACTCCATTCTATTCGCCATGGATTGATATCGGAGTTGAAATCTTCTACTTGCCCAGTTTAAATCCCTAACAATAAAATCGTAGTGTCACTGCCAAAAGATACCAAAAGATTGATTTTCAAAGGCTGACTTGCAAAGTGAAAGGGGCGGAAACTATTGCACGATGGAGGGAATTTCAGAAAAGTTAGAAAGAGTTAAGAACAAAGATAATAAAAAAATTCTGAAATTTAAATATAAATTGAAAAATCCAAGGACACAACACGTAGTAATAGAATTTGTTTCTTCCATAAAAATACATGAAACTCAGCCCTGAAAATTGCAGTATCAAGCAGCATAAAAATACATATGGTAGGCTCAGTGGGCTTGCTAATCACGATGGAATAGTCCACCGATTTGCAGAGTGTCACTTCGTGTATGTTTTGTATTAAAAATGACACGACAAATTTGTTTGGTGTAATTGGTTGTGATTGTTGTCTTTGTTTAAAGAGAACTGGGTACAAATCCTGATATTGATATTTTTAATATGAAATAAATTATAAATTATAAAGACAAAAATTTCCTTCCTACTTTCCCTCTCGTTACAGAAAATTTGGAATGGAGAAAAGTAGACAAAACTCTGCTATATATTATTGAAGGATTTTGATGAGCGTAAGTTTCCTAGAAAATCATTGCTAATCCTGGAGGGAGAAATCTATGGTCGCCAAGCATAGCTTATTAGAATATAGGATGAAACTGTAACTTCAGAATAGTTAGATGATTAAACTGTAAAGAGTCATAGATTAGTTAGAAGTCGGTTATAGATTAGTCTTCCCGCTCAACCTATATACTGTAATCCTCTGTATTTTATTCACTTTTCACGATCCAATCTTCCATAATCAAAGATTCTAGCATAGCTTCTGCCTTTTCTTTTCTTTTTTGAATTTTAGGTCCTCTTTGTTTGTCAGGTAAGTACGATGAAGTTTGTCTTCAAATTAAACGTATAACGGTATAAGTAGTCACTAGCCAGCTAGGTAGAGCAGAAAATCATATGATGAGTTATTCAATTAAACATTATTTGTTATGTTATCCAATGATTAATTAAGATGTATGAGTCACATTACTACTAGCTAATACATGACGACTTATATATCTAGAAAGATCCATTCTGGATTTTTGTGCACGGAAATCCAAATCTATAATGTTGGGTGCACAAAATCTAAATCTGTAATGTTGGGTTAGATTTCTCGGTTTCCCCCTTCTATTATTATGTTGGATGTTGATGAACTAACCCTGTATGACTTATTAATTACCGACTCCGTATACTATAACAACACCTAGGGAGTGGATACGGTGACAACCCGTTAAAAGCTTATCAGATTCACAACTCAATCATTCACCCTACTATATAATAATAAAAAAAAACTCCAACTCCAACTCCTCCCTCTCTCCCTCCTCCCTTTCTCCTCCCTCTCTCCCGCAACCATCACCGTCGCAGAGACCTCCACTGCCACAGCCCTACACCGCCGGCACCTTCGCCCCTGTCTCCCGCCGGCGACTGCCGAGCCCTCTGCCGCCTCCGCCTCCTCCTCCTCAATCCTAGCCTCCCTCCACCCCCTGCTATTGCAACTCTCTCCCGCCGGCCCGTCGCAACGTCCGCCTCTCACCACCGCGGCACAATCATCCTCTCCCCGTCGGAGCCCTCTCGCCGCCCTTCGTCTCCCACCACTGTCCCCGTCGCAAGGTCTCCCTCTCCCCTCTGCCTCTCTCTCCCGTCACAGAATCCCCTTCTCTAGATCTGGTCCCCCCCCCCCCCCCGACTAATGGTACCATTTTCTTCTAGTAGCGTACTAGTGATAGTGGTACGCTACCACTACCAGCTACCTGATGGTAGTGGTAGCGTACCACTATCATCTGGTTTTTTGTGTTATTCTCTACTAGTACCGCTATCAGTGCTAGTGGTACGATACCAGTGCTATTGTACGATACTAGTGCTAGTGGTACGTTATCATTAGCATTCGTAGCGCTACCAGTGGTACTGGAAGCATACCACTAGCACTGGTACTGCTAGCACTACTAGTGCTGGTGGTACGATACCAGATGGTAGTGGTAGCGTTGTACTGGTAGCGTACCACTAGAAAAAATCATTACCAGTAGACTAATGGACTGATACACTTTTTAATGCACTGGTACATTTTTTTCCAGGTTGCCTGAGGGAGTCTGCCGGAGAAAGTCTGCCGGTCGATGGGAGTGGCCGCTGGAGAAAGGAAGAGAGAGAGAGAGATAGAGAGATATAAATGAATAGGATTTAAATTTTTTAAAAAATACTTGTATTTAATATGATTTTTTAATTCCCAATGTAATTAATGAAAAAAAGATTAATATATTCTTTTTTTTCATACTCAAAATGCACTTGGTTGTCACCATATCCCGTCCTCAACACCTTTTATATTGTTATAGTAACAACAGGGGCAAAATCGTAAACAACATAAAATATTAAATCTCTCCCATCTCTCTTTCCTCGCATCTCCTGTAACTCCCGACGATTCTTTGCCTTTCTCTCTCTCCACAATTCCGGCCGGTGGTCTCTATCAACGACGAGAAGATCTGTAACCCGAGAAAATTGATGCCCTCATGATCTTTTTCACCGTCTTCGAGACTTAGATTCTGCCATCCGGTTAGAAATAGTCGAGGCCATAACCATGTCGTCTCAGATCTAGAGTCGTGATGTGTGGCGGCGATTTGAGGCAGCTCTTCCGTCGAGTGTTTCTCTGCCCATCCCCTTGTAAGCCCAATTCCCGTATGGATCACTAGGGAATAATTGTGGCCCAAGTGTAATTATCACTTAATGGTTTAATATATCAGATAAGCCATATATTGGTTAGGTTAATGAAAAAGGTAATTTCCTAATATACCCTGATGGTGGGTCTATATAAAGAAACCCTAGGATTGGTCCTCTCTCAACCCATTACGTAGAATTTCTTAGCCGTCATAGAAATCTCTAAACCTAAAACCTAAAGGGGTCAAGAGGGAGAAACTAAATTCTGGTGATTACTACTCAAGCCGCCGCCGCCGCTCTTGTCATGGATCGAGGTAGGTTTCCGTGATCTATTACCGATTCGTGAAATCATCTAATTCTAAGATCCATGCTATTATGATTTATGTTTACATGTGGTATCAAATCCT